AAACTACAAAATAACAAGAAGTGGACTAGTGGTAGACATACAATGTAACCACTCCATAACAAGCTAGTGACACATGATGTTCATGTAAACATTCAATGGCAAGTGACATGGTTTTGCATGTAGCCACCTATTAACATGTGTAATACATGCAACCATCGCACTAAGAAAAAGGTGACGTGCTGCTTACAAACAACCACCTCAATAACAAGCTGTATACAAGAACATAATGCACCTTCTCATTAGTTTTAAATTTGTGATACTTCTGTTGATTTCTTCTCTCAAGTTATTGTCACTACAAAAAATTAAGGTTTTAGAAACCAAAATTTAGGAACAAAATTATTTTTTAGAGACCAAATAATTTTGTTGGATAAGTGTCGTCATTATAATTTTAGTAACAAAAATTGGACATTAGTGATGAATTATTATCCTTTTGGGATCAAATTTTTTGTCTCAAAAAATAAATCATTTTGAGACCAAATTATTTTGTCCCTAAAAGTCTATTTATTAGTGACATTTTCAAAATTTTGTCGCTAAATGCCTTATTTTTTACTTTTCCGGACGACCTTTTAGCAACTATCCTCATGAAGATGGAAATTGGTCTTTAAATGTCTTTTACAACAAAATTTTCACTTTTAGAGACCAAAACATTTGGTCTCTAAAACTTTTATATGTTGTAGTGTGCCTACCATCTTTTGATTTTGCCATAGCTGATTCCACTTGTTCAAATGTTTGTTTTGGGTTCTTATGTTTGAATTCTGAATTTTTTTAAGACCTATAGGGAATTGAATATTTAAGGGCTTGCATCTTTTTTCTTTTGTTCTAAACTTGGCAAGTTGGTAAATACATAGTACTTTTAGATTAAAAAATGTCTTCTCCAAGCAAGAGCTGCGTCATCACTACCTAAGGTACTAAATTTGTATCTTTTAATTTTTAATTTTTGCAAGGTGGGTTTTTATTTTATTTTTATTCTCTCTTATGTTCTTGGGTTTGATGATGGCAAATACCTGTTAGTTTATGTGATGCTGCATAGTTTGATGTTGGATATCCTATGAATGGTGTTGCTTAGTCACATAAAATTGTGTATGTGGAATCATAGAGTATGATTACTGTTGCTTTGTTGCATAAATATTAGTTTGACATGACTTGGTTGTATTGATTGCCATATTCTCATGAGATCCGTGGTTGGTCCTTGGAAAATTTACTTGTTCATGCAATATATGATTTGGAAGGATTGCAATTCTTGATCTGGTCTTGATAGATAGCATTACCATTGCTTGATTTTGTTAGTAGTACGAGCTCGTTTGGTAAAGAATACCATTGTGGAATTGTGCACTTCCAAGGGCAGCCCTACGATTTCCATTAGGCGTGTTTTTTTCACTTGGTTTGGTAAGATATTGTTGAGTAGCTTTTGAATTACTATCTCATTTTCTCCATTGCTTCTACGGGACCTTTCAAGCTTAATGGTGTTCCTCTTAGACATGTAAATCAATCTTATTTGATTGATACTTCGACCAAGGTGGACATCTCTGGCGTCAATGTTGAAAAGTTTTTTTTTTTTTTTTTTTGGAACTGGACAATGTTGAAAAGTTTGATGACAAGTATTTTGCAAAGCAAGTCGAGAAGAAGAAAAAGAAGGGAGAAGGCGAGTTCTTTGAGGCAAAGAAAGACATTTGCTTATAATCCTTTACTAAAATTGTGAAAAAGGCATTAAATTTTTGTTGTTTTTTTGGACTTATTTAGTTTAAATATTTTTTTGCACTTATTTGGCTTAGATTTGTTTGTTATTACATCAAGCTGCCTTCTTTAGTTAAATTCTTTGGCTTGTACTATATTTTAGAATCTTGGCAAACGGGGCCTCATAATTGTGTTGAATCTTTCAGTGCATATCTTCTGAAATGCTACGCTTTGGACAAAATATTGATTGTAATTTTTCTCATATTTCAGAATCAAGGAGAAAAAAAAGTGGCGTTTTTTCAAAAAACGTCATTTAGAACACCACTAAATGACGTCATGCGTTAGTTTGTGATGGAAATGGAAGCGGATGTAAAAGATTTTGCGGCATTTTAAAAAACACCGTCTAATAATTTTAATGACGGTTTTCAAACGTTGTAAAGATATTGCGGCGGTCATATCAACGACGAAAATTTTAAACATTGTTGTAATATTTTACAGCATTTTCAGGCTTTTAGCGACATTTTAAAAACACCACTAAAACTCAAATTTCTTGTAGTGTTTCTAATGATAACACAAAACAAAGGGAAGGGTTATGCTATAATACACATCTTTATTTTCATGTTATGACATATACATTTTAAATAGTGTATATCATATACACTTTTGATATGTATTTTATGATACATATTAGATATTCTGACAAATAACTAGAAATTGAGGAACATGGCAGTATTTCCTTCCAGTGGCATATGTGATGTAATATGTCCATTGACAAAAGAATCAAATTGGATATTTTTTTAATTCAGTGAATAAAACCTCAATCTAGTTGTGCATCTATCGCCGCTTGTGCATGCATGCACTGTACAAATGGGAAAATGCATACTTGATTTTTTTTTTTTGCACACAAACATCCTTGTTTTCGTTCTTTGGTTCTTGTGACTTGATAATTCTGTCAAGTCCTGTTGAAAATATATTGCAAACCAAATCTAGACTCATGAATGTGGCAGCAATTGTTGAATTAACGGCCAAATTAATGATGTAAATTAAATTCCAATCTGATTTGTTTCTTTTTCAATTGAATTCGGCTCAACTAAAGCTAGCCCATAGCCAATTCCTTTACAGTCCTACCTTGTGTGATCAAACAGTAATAATTTTTTCCTAGAAGATTTGATATTAGGAGCTAGTTAATTGTCACTACTCATATTATGAAATTTGTACCTCAAATGTTACACTGATGTGATGGTCTATAGAATATATTCATCTGCTTTAATAGCATTAGTTTTATAAAGAAAGTTATTTCAATTTTACTCAATGCTAAAAGGCAACTTTTGCCAATTTTTTTAAAGAGTGACTAACTTGTCCCTCTCATAGGATGAATTCAATTTCCTTATGATCTTGTCTAATGTGTTTTTTGGGCCACAGATTAATTTTCAATGATGAAAGGGTGAACATGATGAGCCTTCTGATTTATCAAAAAAAAAATAAAATAAAATAAATAAAATTTTATGGGCCTTCTTTGATGGGGAATAAAACCTCCAATTTAAATATGGTTTTCATTTTTAATATTAAATTAGAGATGGTCTCCTTTGTTGCATATTTTTACTAAATTTCAAGTGTCTTAAGCCGTGCAGAGCAACTGAGGACCATGGGAAGCTAGCGACAATATACAAGTCGAAGAAGAGGAATGAGATGGTGGAAGAGGGCTACTGGATTTTGGGCAACTCTGGAGACCAATGGAGCGATCTTTTGGGTTCATCAGTTTCTATCCGCTCGTTCAAGCTCCCAAATCCCATGTATTATATTCCCTAATTGGACAGGTTCCTATTAAGCTTTTCTAATCCCTTCTAGTCAAACAAATATTTGTACATTCGATTCATTGACTGAAGTTTACAATTAATATATAAATTGTGCATAACTATACTTGATTTAAGTTTTTAATTAATACATAAATTGTGCATAATCTCTCTCTCTCTCTCTCTCTCTCTCTCTCTCTCTGGCAGTGGCTCATGAGATTAACTATGAATAACTATATCATATTATGCAGAATTAGATTGTTGTCTTCAACTAGGTAGATGCATGTATTCAATTTATCAATTGCTAGAAACTGGTCACTAGTTTCTAAATCAACATTTTGGGATATTATCGACGAAGTACATTAGCTTGGTCCACGGTTTGTCGCCCTATTAATTATGGAGGATTAGGCATTAAAACCTAACGATGCTTAACCAGCCCTACATGATGAAGTTGGGATGGCACTTATTGAGACATTCTGAATCTTTATAGGCTTTGATGTTTAAATCCAATTATTTCCCTAATGGCACTATCATTTCGGCTAAATCTAAACTTTACCAATCATGTTTCACTTAAACTTTTCTTACTCTTGGCAAATGTGGACAACTAGGAATAAAATGCTTCTTGAAAATCAACCTTTACACCTTCACAAGATATCATATGCTGCTAAGTTTGCACTCTCTATTCTGATGAACACTTTTAAAGTACACACTCTCGGTTAACAAACTCGACACGGATGGTGCTTGTTAAGGTAACCCTGGTCGAGCAAGCATTGGTGGCATCTTCAGAGATAATACTGGTCACTGCATTTAAGCTTTCGAATATCCTATTGGTACAAGTAACAATACAGCTGAAATTTGGACTATTCAAGCTAACACCCAATGGTTAATTATTGAATCTAATTTATGGAAAACACTACACATCTTTGCAAGCGAAAAGCCAATAACTAAAAGATATGCCATGCTTTTAGTTTTCAAGTCATTAAATCATATTCTTTATTGATGTTTGAACGCATGTCCTGCAATGTGCTTACCAGGAAATTGAAGAGGTGGATACGGATGAACATTATCGACCTAAATCTCCAATAGGAATCATCAATGTGACTCTGAAAGAGAAGGTTTGAAGGAGGTTTTATCAGTTTAAAGCTTCTTTCAATGGCATGGTTTCCCCATCTTAGATGCCAACGTGCTGATAATCACCAAGCAAGCAAGAGGTTTATGGAAAGTATAAATTTTTAGTCCAGGTATAAATTTCATTTTCTGCTTGTATGTAAAAGACTTGAATTTATTTTTGTCAAACTTTTTCACCAATGTGTGTTACTATAGGGTCGTAAGATGGGTCAATGTGAACCTCATAAGTTGAATTTCAGTTGTACGGATGGGATTGAAGACAATACGTACGAGTGGGTATGTGTTTCATGGTCCAGTACAATTTTTTGTATGGTGTTCATTACATTATGTTTGAACTCATTAATGATATTTTGTTATTATGGTATTTTTAGGTGCCGCAAGGTCAATCCTATTATCTTCCGTGTATGGATGGGACACAGGAGAGCGCATTGCAAATGGTGGAGAAAATTGGAAGCTCATCTTTCAGTGAATCAGGAATGGCGAATAGGTTTTGAACAAATTCGGAACAGGTTATATTTGATTCTGAATAGGTTTTGAATAGATTCGGAACAGATTATATTTGGTTTTGAACAGGTTTTGAACAGGTTCTGAAGAGGTTAATTTCAGATTTTGAACAGATTCTGAACAGGTTAATTTTAGATTTTATATTTCAGATTCTGAACATGTTAATCTGGTTTTGAACAGGTTCTGAACAGGTTAATGCGGTTTTGAATAGATTTTGAACAGGTTCTGAAGAGGTTAATTTCAGATTTTGAACAGATTCTGAACAGGTTAATTTCAGATTTTGTATTTCAGATTATGAACATGTTAATCTGGTTTTGAACAGGTTTTGAATAGGTTCTGAACAGGTTAATGTGGTTTTGAACAGGTTTTGAACAGGTTCTGAAGTGGTTAATTTCAGATTTTGAACAGATTCTGAACAGGTTAATTTCAGATTTTGAATTTCAGATTGTGAACAGGTTAATTTGATTTTCAGATTCAGATTCTGAAGAGGTTAATCTGAATTTCAGATTCAGTCAATTTGTGTAGAATGACAAGTTCAGAAGCAAAATCACAGGTTGATTGTTTGTCCAGAATAAAGCACTCCAGAATTGAAGCTCAGAATGATGCAGTCCAGAATTTAAGAATGATGCAGTCCAGAATTACATGAAGTTCAGAATGATGCAGTCCAGAATTTCAGAATGATGCAGTCCAGAATGAAGCAGCATGGCTATGCACTATTGAAGCAGCATTGAGCAGTCCAAAATGAAGCATTTGGCAATAATATGTAATCTGTTGCTGGATATATGTAATCTTTTGCTGGATAATATGTAATTTTTTGGAGTTGTTATAGATTATGAATGTCTAAGTAGCATGGTAAGAGATTACATATTATTAGTAACATTTGGCTGTAAGTAGCATAGATTATGAATGTCTTAAGTAGCATGGTAAGAGTTAAATTGAGGTCAATATGATGATTGTTGAACAGAGGTTATAGAAATAAATTTAATGGAATTGAGTTTTGCAGTGTTGTCCATCGAAGCTGAAGCTTAAGAAATAAATTTTATTTTGGGTTTCAAGTACCTATATCCTTCTGTTTTCTGTTTAAATGTTTTAATGATTTCATGAATGAAGATGATGGTGAGTTGAATTTAACAATTGTTAGCAGTTATTTATTAGATCAATTAATAATATGGACATTCTTGGGGAAAAAATGACAGTTTGGGTACTAACATGGTGATTCTCGTGCCTTTTTTCTAATAAATTCTTTTGCAGGATATGACAAACATAACACTCATGAACCTCCCCACCTTTCCACTTTACTGCCAAACCTTGTCACCACACCACTTTTCCTTAAAAAAGTAATGTTAGAAAGCAGCCAACAAGCTCTAATAATAACACCTGAAACAAAACCTTAAAAGAAGCCAAGTGTAGGAACTATCAGTTGTGCTATGTTATCTATGCACAGATAAGTAGATTTCTTTAATGCCATGTTTGATTTACTAAAGTAAAAGTTTCTTTAGTCTCCTTATAGGATGACCATTCAATTACAATGGTGAATAATTATTTCATAATTCAACATGTCCATTATAGAAATTCAAGAAATTCAAAATGTCTGGTATAAAGTCAACAAGTCCAACAAGTCCATTCAATCCATAATAATACATGTCTGGTATAAATTCAACATGTCTGACATCATAATCCATAATCCATTCAATTCAACATGTCCATTCATAATCATCATGTCCATCATAATCCATAAATTCAACATGTCCATTCAATCCATAATCCATAATCCAACAAGTTCATTCAAGTCCATTCAGTCCATTCAATCAACATGTCTGGTATAAATTCAACATGTCTGACATCATAATTCAACAAGTCCATTCAATCCATATAAGAAATTCATAATTCAATCCATATATGTCTGACATCATAATGCAACAACAAATTCAACAATAATTTCAACCTATCAATAGTAATTGAAAATAGAAGTCCATTGAAGTTATAAACTTCATTCAATCCATAAGGACATACATCAAGTCCATTCAATCCATAAGTACATCCATCAAATTCCCTAAAAGCTATGAACTCAGTAGTTTACATTATAAAATATAAAACAATACAAAATACAATCTGAAATTCATTATCCATCTCATAAACCCTTGTGCTTGGATCGTTAAATTCTTCGCTTCTTATAGATGTACGAGGTGCAACATTGGAGATCACGTCGTAGTCATCATCATCTACGAACTTGAAGTAATTGCAGTGTTCCTCACTAATCTACAATGCATGACAATCAGTTAATCAAATCAGGCGAATAAATTTGCAAACAAATTTCCAAACAAATTTCCATAGTACTTACATATTTTGATGGACACACAAAGTACGCACGCCCTTTATTTTCATTCTAATTGGTTCGCACAATGTGTATGGCAGTTGTTCTCCCACAATCACAAAATCTTGGTATCAATCTTAAGTAGCTATTGTTACTAGAGGAAGAAGCCATTTTGTAATTTGCATACAAAATAGAAGATAAATATATATATACATACATTAGTAAACATAGCTACTATGAATTAATAACTTAGAGATAAGCTTTTAGATGAATATCTGGGTTGAGAATGAGATTAGGGTTCAAGGGCCAAAACATTTGCTACAATACAAGATACATATATATATATATATATATACATACATACATTAGTAAACATATTAGATTAAGCCATAGATTTTAACTCAAGACAACATTGAACTTGTGCTTAGCTAAACTTGTTATTTTGACAAGAACAATAAATAAAAAACAAAAATCAGCATAATCAAGACCTTAACTGCTATCCTATAATGCCCAAATTCAACAAGAAATTCAAAATCAAATTCTAAATCAAGTATAATCAAGTCCAGAATCAAGACCATTATAGAAATTCAAGAAATTCAACATTTCTGGTATTAAACTATGAACAAGTCCAGAACCCATAGAAGTCCATAACCTGCTCTGAATCTGTTCAAAACCTGTTCCATTATAGAAACCTGTTCCAAATGAACAAAAATCTGTTCTGATAAATGGATAGATTCAGAATCTGATTTAGAACAGCTTTTGAATAGATTCAGATTCTGTATAGTGGAACCAATGAACAAAAATCATTATAGAAACTTGTTTTGAATCAAATTCCATTCAACCCGTAGAAGTCCATTCAAGAAATTCAAAATCAAATTCAAAATCAAGTATAATGAAGTCCATAATCAAGGCCATTATAGAAATTCAAGGCAAAACCCACAATGCCCAAACCCTAACAAACAATCATAACCCTTATAATCAATAATTGAGGAATCTGAAAAACATGTTCTACAAATTCAAGCCAAAACCAAAACCCTAACACAAATTTCAAAAATTTTTTTTTCTTAGAAATCAAACAGAAACACAAACCCTCGTTTTTGGTTGTGGTACCTTTTTTCCTGCTAGTCGAGGCACAAAACATTTTCCTTATATTTTTGGTAATAACAGCCACATGCATCCACATACATTCACTTCAACTTGCCTCATTCAAAAATTTAAAATTACACATCACAAACAAGAAGAAACGAAATTTAGCATACATTCTAGAAGAAACTATTTAACATTGATTTTTTTTTTAATTTTCTTAAAGAATATATTGTATAAATTGATAAAATGTGTAACTATTGTTTTTTTTTTTAATTGTATTAAAGACTCCTATATATAAATCCACAACAATTGACAAATTAATGTTTATAAATTATAAATCCAGAATGGTACACCAAAAGTTAGTAGTATGCTCATGATAACTAACTGATACACAGCTACTTCACCTAAAATTCCGATCGAATATGACAAACCTAACCTTCTAGGTTGGAGACAATTCGGAAGAGACATACAAACTACTAGATTTTCCTTTGAAACTTATAATCAAACATGAAGAGTGAATTGATTGCAATATTACCTGACTACTATCCCCATCCACAAGATCACTCGTGGCAATTCTACGCTCATACTCAACCGGAGGCCCTGCTTTGCTTACTTCTACAATCAAATCAAATTAAACCCAAATCAAAATGTAAACATCATGCTAAAGATTATTTAAAAAAAAAAATAAAATGACAAAAAAACAACCTCCTCATCACGAAGCCAAACCCTCAACTTCTTCTACTTATCTTGTCATAGTGCTTCACTTTATTAGCCACCTCTGATGGAGTCAATTTTGCACCCCATTTATAGCAGAGATTCTAAAAGAAGAATGAAATCGTAACAAATAAAAAAAATATGAATAAATATATGGAGACTCATTAAGGCAATTCATTTGGGTTCTTTGGTATTTTTCTTAATTGACTTGGGTTATTTTTAGGTATTTGGATTACTCTAAAACACACCCGCAAGTATAACTTTATACACTGTCCAACTTATAGCAAATAATTAATCAAACTTATAACTTTATAACTTTTTAATTAATCAAACTTCATAGAATTTTTTTGACTTATCCTCCTTGTATAAGTTAAGATCTATTCTTATAAATAAGTGATTTATACCCATCGAATTCTGACTCACACAACTCTAAACCTGGTGTTCATGTGCTTCAAATATATTCAAACTTGGCCACTGTTGGCAAGTGCGAGGAAGTGGTACCCATGTCAATTTAAATCAATCCACAAGACAAATTGATCCTGGCTGTTCTCTGATGAGTGAGGAGGCAGATAGCTTTAAATTTCCACTAGCCACAGTGCCTTATTCAGGTGGAATTTCTGGTAAGTTTTTTGAGGATTATTTGGGCTTTTAGAACATGATGAACATTCTTTGTGCATGATTCATATTGGATAAAATGTTTCTCTGACACTGTTTTGCTTTGCAGGAACATTGTTTGTTGGAACATCAAGCCTAAGAATGTGGGTTCAAGTCTAAGGACCCCCACTTTGTGCAAGTAATGCCAGAAGTTAAAAGTCTATACCTTATACCCAATTCATCCTTCCTAGCCACCAACACTGACTAATGGATTTTTAATGTCTTTTGATTTTCTTGTGCAGAATTTAGTTAAGGTTGACATATTAATCTGAAAGCAAAAATCTGAATCATACATGGACGGAAAATTATGTTTGTTGATTCAAATCTTTAATACTGTGTTATGGGTAGAAATCTTTATGTCTCTTTGGTATGTATTGATTGCTCTCCTCTGAAAACTTGACCCTCGGCAATGTATGGACAACCTCAATGGGAAAGTTAACTGGAGTGATGAAATTTGTTTTCATGGAGAATGTAAGTAGAAGATAATTCATATATCATATAAGACTTTCCTCACCACCAGTACAAGTGAAGGAAAAAAGATGTGATGCTTTATTACCACAGCTTCTTTGGTTGCTTTCTCAAATGAGAAAATTGTCCCTTCTTTATTAGAAGGCTGTATATGCTACCAAGAAGGCTGTGAGAATAGTATTTTCCAGAAATAATTGTTTACTATCAGCAAAATCTATGTTGAATACCAATAAGATTGAGCCACAAATGCAAAACAGCATTGACTTTTTCTTTATCTTTGGTAATAAACAATTATTACAAGGT